TTTTTAAAGACTTTCAGAGGTGATATCGAGGTTTTTAACGGATTATCATTTTTAAAACTATCATGGATAATAGTAATTTTTATGAATATATTTCTTCAGGGAGTATCAGAGCTATAATTTTGTTTTTAGGATGATAATATGATAATTTTTCGGGAGCTTATTTGAAGGGCTGACAGTGCTAAACTCAAGATCATTTTAGGAAGATATTTAAAAAGATTCTAAAGCCTATTAAAGGGGATTTTAAGGAACAGGTTTTGATGATGATATTTTCAAGCACTCAATGAATTAAATTCTGTCAATTTTCCCATACTCAAATGTAAATAATGTGAAATTTAAGACTATATATGTATAGATCTGTAAAATTTAATACTTCAGAACTCCATACCTATTTTATGTTGAGCTTAACTTGGAGTTTTTGCATAGCGTAACTAAAAACTTGATTATCTCCTTTATGTACAATGAGCTGTCAGTGATGACGTCAGGTAATTCCCAACGCAACGAAACGGGTAAATTGCAAATACCTCACACTGTCACCCGAAACTATCCCCTCCAACCGACTGTTGTTCATTTTATCGTTGGCAATTTTTAGACGAGCAGAAATTTTCGACTATTTAACTTTTCCATTCACACCTTCCCACGATGGTCAAACACTTGAGATGTCTACTAATTTGGTAATAATTACAAATAAACTAGGCAAAATTTCGGGAATGGGTATTACAAAAACAAAATTTTCCTCCACATGAGATGACCATGATTAGTAATGAGGCAGCTGATGATGGTAATGTGGCCCTTAATGTTTGCTCTAACAATTTGTGAGTGAAGTTTTTCTCGGATTGCTGCTAAATCTGGCGTATAAAATGTCAATACCCTCATGATGTCAAGTCAGTATAGATTCAGTGGATCGGAAAAGAAACACACACGATATGAATTCGATAATAGTGACATTAGTTGTGATTGGCTGTCTGGCGGGTAATATTTACGGAATCCCTGTGGAGAGTGCAAAACCTGAAACTCAAGAGCAGGAACAACAAAATAATTCGGGTTTCCAAGTTGCCGTGCCCATTCCCGCTGTAATTGAACATGAAAATCAAGAAAACCCCGAACACGCCTATCAAGTTGCCGTTCCCTTACCAGCCATAATTCAAGACGAAACAAATCCTCAAGTAGCTGTTGTCCCCGTATCCCTATTGGATGTTGAACCTGCCACTGAACAATCTGCAGCCAGTGATGATGATTCTGTGGTGCGCAGTGCCCGTGGTTTGGGTTTTGGTAAATTTGGTGGCCTGAACTTCGGTTTCAAAGGTGGCTTCGGTGGATTGGGTGGATTGGGTTTACATGGTTTGGGTCTCCATGGCTTAGGTTTGCACGGCTTCAAACCATTCTTTGGCAAATGGTTCGGATAAGTTAAAACGTGTTCTAACATTGAACAAAGCAAGCTGTTTCCTATTTACCAATTTAGTTAATAATTCAATTTCTTTAGTTTTATTTTTTTTAATAGTAGTTAAGTTATTTTGTTTTTGTAATCAAGGAAAAATTAATAATAATGTACAATTTATGGCGATAACTTGATACCCTGAAGGATAATGAGTTTTAAGAACACTACGTTAAAAATAACTGACTGACTGATTCAGAAATTTTGTACGAGCGCCAGCGTAGGTGTGTGATAAGGCGGGGTTTTTGAAAAAGTACCTAAATGGTATTAAATTTAAAGCAATTAGGTTTAGGGTGAACGGGTGAAGCTGGTATTTTGAAATGTTTACTACAAGTGCACGAAAAGTTTAAATGGCACTATGTTTGGTACAATTTAATATTAGATGAACATATAGTGCTTGAAATCTGAAAGTTTGTATTGGACATACAATTTTGAAAGAGTAGAGCTTAGAGTACTGATAGTATATGTGTTTGAGATTTGCGGTCACTGTTGGTTTCTAGGGCTTACATATGGAGACGTTGAAATATTCTTGGACAGAAAAAATGGATGTGGATCCATTGTGCAACAGTTTTACTAATATTCTCCTAGGTAAACTTCAAAATGAAAGATTTTTTTCGAAGGTCTTCATAATATTCGAAGACTTTCGAAAAAAATCTTTCATTTTGAAGTTTACCTAGGAGAATATTAGTAAAGCTGTTGAAATAGGCCATAGCTTTTATATAAAAATCCGGAAATTTCCATTAAACAGTAAATATTTAAATTCCAGCGAATCAGCGAATTTTGATAATTCTCACCAATTCAGAATGACCTTGCGGCAAAAAAGAAAAACACCTAAAACAATCAAATTAAAAGACGCTAATAAATAATGTGAATATTTTTATACCCTCCACCATACATACATAGTATGGAGGGTGTATTAAGTTCGTCATTCAGTTTGTAACTTGTCGATAATAAGTATAAAGTATATATATTCTTGATCAGCGAATATACTAAGACGATTTAGCCCTGTCCGTTTGTTGTAATCACGCTGGAGTCAAAACGAATAAAGATTAAAAGCTAGAATTCAGTACAGATCAGTATTTTGTCTGCAGGCAGGTCAAGTTCAAAGATGGGCTATATCGGTTCAAGATATCGTATAGCCTCCATACAACGGTACCCCCAAATATTCGGGTTTTTGATAATTGTAGCCAAATTTTTCAGTTCCTTCTGACCACTTTTCCCCTGGAAGAGTATTGTCTATATAGGTCTACGATATCGTATATCACCCATATAACGGTACCTCCCTATATTCGGTAGTTTGACGATTTTGTGGAATTGTCTAAAAATCTATACAAGAGCTGCTTTCTAAGCACTTTACCCCTTGGAAGAGAAATTTCTACGATATCGTATAGCCCACATACTACGTGGCCCCAGATATTCGATATTTTGATGATTTTAGTGACATTATTCATGGGAGTTGTTTCAAATTTCGTATTAAAAATTCGTAATGGGTAACACAGTCTATGACAAAAATTGCATATGCAGGCCCACGTCTTTGTATAGCCTTCATATAACGGTACCTCCCTATATTCGGTATTTTGATGATTTTAGCGACATTATTAGAGTTCGTTATGGGAACTACAGTCTATGACAGAAAATTGTCTATGCAGGTCTAGGTCTTCGTATATGCTCCATACATCAGAACCTTCCTATATTCGGTATTTTGACGATTTGAGGTACAATAATCACCGCAATTGTTTGAAATTTCGTATTTGAAGTTCCTAATACGTACTAAAACCCGTGACAGAAAATTGTCTCTGCAGGTTCAGGTCTTCGTATAGCCCCGATATAACGGTACCTCCCTGTATTCTGTATTTTGATGATTTTAGCTACAGTATTCATCGGATTTTTTCAAGTTTCGTATTTGAATATTGTAATACTGTAATGGCTTATGACAAAAATAAACAAGAAAGCAAAGGCCGCGCGGGGCCGACCATGTGATACCCTACATCACTACAATATGGTAGAAGCTCCCTTTTGTCCAAATCCATTTTGGAAGATTTTGCTTTTGAAATTACGTCATAGAGCACTGCCCAGATGTTACCCTTTACGTACTCCGACGTGTTGCTAATATTCAAAACAATCTCACACGAAAGTTGTGGGCCATTTTACAGCTAAATATAATACAATAGTCATCCAAAATGCTAGACTTCTTCCCTGTCCTAAACTCTATTCTCATGCAAAATTCCGTGTCGATTGGTTTCAATTATGTGATCAGGAAAATGTTTCTGTTTTTGATTCATGTGAACCCCTAAACATTTTGCGATCATTTTCAAATGCAAGAAGTCCCTCTGTATCTCCAAATCCGGACTCATCCATATGATTTGCTTATCTACGATATTTGGCTATATTTGTCAACGAAATCAGCATAGCCATAAGTTCGCCATATATGTATTTTCAGCGTTTCGGTAGAATGGAAATGTTGGTATTTTTTCAAACGAAAGTAGTGGTCCATTCTACTCGCTGTCCTAAACTTTAACTTCATGCGAGATTTCGTGCCTGTTGCTATATCTCCGATATATTTACTGTCGGCATCAACGTAACGGTAAGAATTGGCCTTTTCGTCTATTTATGAATTCACCGGATTAAAAATATTCTCGGTTTAATGGAGAATGAATTAACACAAATGTTATGGTATATTTCACCCACTAAATATTACCCGATGACCTTCAAAATTGGAAGGCTTCTGTACAGCTCTAAGCTCTAGCCCCACGCTAACTTTCGCGTCGATTGGTCTATAATTGTGTAGAGCGGTCAATTTTAACCCCGAAATATTAAATATTTTTCTGACCGTAATCCCACCTCCATGCCGAATTTCGTAAGAATCGGACCTGTAGCGTGATTACAAATTAACATGGACAGACTGACGCACGGACATACATAGCTAGATCGACTCAGCTAGGAAGATCCATATATATTTTCCTATGTGGGAAACCAATATTTCGAAATGTTACATAATTTTTGGTTCTATCAAATTTACAACATCCCCAACACATAGCGTTGTAGGGTATAAAAAGTTAATATTGTAATGGCTTATGACAAAAGTTGCCTATGCAGGTCAACGTCTTCGTATAGATCCCAATATATAAGGGATACATTCGGTATTTTTAAGATTTTAACATAATTTTTAACGGATTTTATTTATTTGAAAATTTCCAAATTTGTTCCAAATTTGTTCGGCCTGGCCGAACTTACTGCTTTTTTACTCTTTCTGTAATGTTTTGTCATATTTTTATCGCATGAGATTTTTTTCAATTTCGGCGCAATTGCTTCATCATATGTAAATGTAATCTTACCTAACCTTGCCAAATATGCTGGAAATCAACAAAACCAATTCACCACAGTGCGATATGTCGACGCCAGAATGTGCTCTAAAGTTTTATGCTTCGAATATAACTTAAAGTTACTCGAAAAGGTTTGTATCTTGCCAACAGCACAATACCTCTGGGATACTGGTTAATGGTAATCTTTGAAACATATTTTTTCAAATAACTATTCATGGAAATTTTAACGAGGAAAAAATGAAAATGATATGACCTTCCCTGAGAGGTCTTCTTAGCTTCTTATTTGAAAAACTTTCATTCTAACATGAAAAAAAATAGTTTTTTTATCATTCTTGTAAGCTAGTGTCAGTTGTTATTAACAACAAAAAGTGTAAATAATCAAGAGAATTTTATGAATGACTTCCATTATAAAGACTGTGCGGTGAGAAAGCTTTCTTCTTTTTTTCAATTTTTCAAAATTTCATTTTGCATCGATTTTGTTTTCTATAAATACAAGTTAAAACTGCTACGGCAAACCCATTTCCCTACCAAAGAATGGATCGAAATGTTACGCGCAACAGTTATATTGATTCTACTCTACTCATGGTTAGTAACTACCGGCTGCAGTGCCTCACAATCCAATGCAAATTTAGAAATTGATGAAAATGTTACACCTCTATGTAAGTTGTTGTTGTTGGAGAGAATAATAAAATGTCATTCTATCAAAGTATTGTAAACAGTATCACTTACCTCTTTTCAAACAGACAATGCTACGGCGAATAAACAAACGCCTGTTGATCGTGTCGTGAATCAGGTGAAGAAAATTGTGAATGATTTGCGTAACAAAACTGAGACGACTTTCAAACAATGGACCAGGCCGAAGAAACCAATAACGTTGACCAATACAAAGAAAACAAACAAGCCATTGGCGCAGGAACAAGTAACGTCGAATAAGACCCATGTTGTTAAATCGAAACCCACAAAGCGGCCGAGATACCATTATTATGGGGCATTGAATAGGCGATTCTATGAAGATACTATACAACCGCCGGAGATCATTGAAAACTGATACCAAAAAATATAGTTTGTGCATCAAAAGTGTTAATGTTTGTTAACAAGAAATTAAAGGGAACATTAACAAGTTAAAATGCCAATGTTCGGTTATTAAAATATATTTTGACTTTGACTTCTGTTATGATTATTCAAATTGTTGACCCTCAATGGAGTAGGTTCCGAAGGAATGGGCCAACATTGGCCATTTCGTATCGGACCTAAATAAATATGATATAAATATTGCGACATATCATATTCATCTCAGGTTTCTGTCAAAGAGAGATATATTTATTTATAGTACGTTGTAAATTTAAGACAGATAAAAGTATTGAAAATTGTGACCCTTTGTGAGTGGCGTATCAGAAGGGGTTCACAGATATATATCATCTGCACAAATGTGTTGTGTATTAGCAAAAATGTTTGTATGTATGAAATTTGATCGTTTTGTTTTTCATAATCTTGGTCAGGTAGGAAAAGAAATGGTCCGATCTCTACTATTTTTATACCCTCCACCTTGGAAAGGAGGGTATATTAATTTTTTCATTCCGTTTGTAAAATCCCTAAATATTCGTTTTAGACCCCATAAAGTATATATATTCATAATCAGCATAAAATTCTAAGTCGATTTAATGATGTCCGTCTGTCTGTCTGTCCGTCTGTCTGTCTGTCCGTCTGTCTGTCTGTCTGTTGAAATCACGATACAGCCCACATTATTTGACGTAGAGCTCCAAAATTTAGCAGAGCTATTTGCATTGTGTCTAGGATGGTTGGTATTGAAAATGAGATATATCGGTCCACGTTCTGGTATAGTCCCCATATAACGGTACCTCCCGATATTCGGTATTTTGATGATTTATGCCACATTTTTTCACGGATTTGTCTTAAAATTGGTATTTGTAGGTCATAGCGGGTCCCTGAGCGTGTGGCAAAACATTGCATGTATAGGTCCACGTTGTGGTATAGCCCCCATATAAAGGTACCTCCCGATATTTAGTATTTTAGTTTTTTTTTTTACCACATTTTTTCACCGATTTGTCTAAAAATTGGTATTTGTGGGTCATAATGGTTTCCAGCTCCGTTGGCGGAACATTGCATGTATGGGTCCATAATTTGGTATAGTCCCCATATAACGGTACCTCCCGATATTCGGTATTTTGATGATTTATGCCACATTTTTTCACGGATTTGTCTTAAAATTGGTATTTGTAGGTCATAGCAGGTCCCAGAGCGTGTGGCAAAACATTGCATGTATAGGTCCACGTTGTGGTATAGCCCCCATATAAAGGTACCTCCCGATATTTAGTATTTTAGTTTTTTTACCACATTTTTTCATGGATTTGTCTGAAAATCGGTATTTGTTGGTCATAATGGGTTCCAGCTCCGGTGGCGAAACATTGTAATTATAGGTCCACGTTTTGGTATAGCCCCCATATAACGGTACCTCCCGATAATTTGATGATTTTTGCCACATTTTTTCAGGGATTTGTTCGAAAATTGGTATTTGTTGGTCATAATTGGTTCCAGCTTCGGTGGCGAAACATTGCATGCATGGGTCCATGATTTGATATAGCCCCCATATAACGGTACCTCCCGATATTCGGTATTTTGATGGTTTTTGCCACATTTTTTCACGGATTTGTCTGAAATCGGTATTTGTTGGTCATAATGGGTTCCAGCTCCGGTGGCGAAACATTGTAATTATAGGTCCACGTTTTGGTATAGCCCCCATATAACGGTACCTCCCCATAATCGGCATTTTAATGGTTTTTGCCACATTTCTTCTAATGTTTCTTTTACCCTAAGGTGGAGGGTATTAAAAGTTTGGCCCGGCCGAACTTAATGTTTTTTTACTTGTTATACCAGATCTTGTGCTGATGGAAATATTGAGATATACCAAGTCTGAATGGAATCGTATGTTAATTTCGCGTTTTTTGAGCTTCGTGGATATTCAAAATGTTAACTCTTTGTGGGAGAGGTATTAAAAGAATTGGAACGATATGTGCCATATTCACACCAGACCTTGGGTTAATAAAAATATTGAGATCTGTGTAATTTTTCAGAAAATCGGATTCTTACATGCGTTTTATAAGAGTTATTATTATTCAAAATGTTGACCCTTTGTGGGGGAGGTCCTTGACGAATTTATTGTTTATTTTGTCACCTGACCTAGAACTGATGCAAATATTAGGATTTGCGAAGTTGGAGAAAAATTGGAAATCCATTCTCTTTTGACCTATACAGGCATGTCACAGAATGTAAAATCGTTCAAGAGTGAAAACGAAAACGGTTTTAGCTTCTCTAAAAAACGGAAAACGCAAAAATTTTGCGTTTTGATATCACTTTCAAAAAGCAGGGTGAAATTGAAATGTTTAGTGATTTTAACGTAAAAAATAAACAGAAGACACATACATTTAACAGAAAATATTGTATTAACCAAATTCTCTTAGAATGAACATGTTTTTGGAATTTATTTTACAAAAAATCTATTATTTTTCTAATTCATGATGAAAACGCAAAAAAATATGCAGAAATGAACGGCAGACTTGTATTGTTGAATTATTGCCATATGTGTTGAAGAAGAAGGTGTAGAAATGTACAACTGACTTTCTTTTTTCTTCGGAAGACATTCTTAATTTGATCGATTGTGGACAAATTTCAGCTTCAATTGCATTAATAACTCTCCACATAATTGTAGAAACTGAACTTCTCCCAAGGCTTAGCTCCACATCTCTACCTATAACTCCTTGAAATGCACCCGTAGCCAAAAACCTAAGCGTTGTTGCAAGCTGGATAATAGCCGGTATATTGGAACGTTTGAGGTGGGGAGAAATTTTTTCCAAAACTAAAACAAAAGCTTCTTTATTAAGTCGATAATAAGTTATAAATCTGTAGAAATAAATTATTATTAAAATAAATTTGAAAATAACTCATTGCTGGTGGATCCTTACTCTGCATTTGAGTGAGATAAAGGATCTGATGCGTTCCTCAATGTCCGGCGACGAATTTTTGGCTTAACTCTAGTTTAGTAAAAACTCTTCAATTTTTTCGAAAAATTTTTCAGTGATAGGTATTTTAACCATGATCCCGGGAAACTATTTTTTTCTTGGGGGACGGACCTGGGACCCCAGATTTTTGACCCGAAAGTCCGGGTTCGAGACCCCGACTAGACCCGGATCCACTTACCCGATATAGACAATATGGGTATCGTTGGAAAGCTTATGAAAATACCTATCCTAACAAGTGGTCACATGATTGGGTAAGATCTTACGGTTCGGAAGTTATAGTCAAATCGATTTTTTCATTAAAACTATGTTTTCAATAAAAAAAGGTATATTTTGCGTAAGAATGAAATTCAGAAATCTTTGGTTCGCGTTAGCCGGTGTAGGACATACCCAGAGGAGAAAATCTCAAGCCCCGGCCGAAGGCCGGCTACTTACAAAAGGTATCCAATTTAGAAAACTTTGGTTCGCGTTAGCCGGTGAGAAATATACCCAGAGGAGAAAATCTCAAGCCCCGGCCGAAGGCCGGCAATTTACAAAAAGTGTCAAATTTAGAAAACTTTGGTTCGCGTTAGCCGGTTTAGGACATACCCAGAGGAGAAAATCTCAAGCCCCGGCCGAAGGCCGGCTACTTACAAAAGGTATCCAATTTAGAAAACTTTGGTTCGCGTTAGCCGGTGTGAAATATACCCAGAGGAGAAAATCTCAAGCCCCGGCCGAAGGCCGGCTATTTACAAAAAGTGCCGAAATTATGAACCTTTTGTTCGCGTTAGCCGGGGTCGGACATACCCAGAGGTACAAAAAGTGCCAAATTTAGAAAACTTTTGTTATTCCGACGACTGCTACGCGAAATAAACACTTTTTTTTATTAAAAACATAATTTTAATGAACTGGTTAGAATCGGGTTATGCGGATGGAAAGACCCATATCTCTGGAACCGAAGAAGGTATTAGCACAAATTGTAGCATTTTGGAAAGGTAAGAGTGTCAGCTATAATTTGGAAACAATTTTGTTGACTTCCATAATGGGCCCTTTTTTGACTTTTTGGGGGTTTCATAAAAAATCCGGGTCCAAAAAATCGGTAATTTGACTATAACTTCCGAACCATGACAAGTTACCCCTTCATGTGACCACTTGTTGGATAGGTATTTCCATAAGCTTTCAATCGATACCCATATTGTCTATATCGGGTAAGTGGTCCAGGCGGGGTCTTGATCCCGGACTTTTGGGTCAAAAATCTGGGGTCCCGGGTCCGTCCCCCAAGAAAAAAATAGTTTCCCGGGATCAGGGTAAAAATACCTACCTCTGGAAAAAAATTTCGAAAAAATCTAAGAGTTTTTACTAAACTAGAGTTGTTCCGGTGTTTATATTATAAAAAACAATTTAAACTCCTTTTTTAATTGTCAATAATTTGTTTACGACTTTTTTTTTCATGGAGTTACCATATTTTTATTTCAAAAATGTGAAATGATTTTTTTTCCGGATTAGTCAAAACGTATGAGTGCTGAAGAAGCAAAAGCAAATCGTAACGATTTGGAAAAGGTGAAATAAATCGATTTCGTAAAACTTCTGTGACATGCCTGATTGTGTGGAAATTAACAGAAAGAGTGAACTGATATTGTCCATCTGCGAACTCGATCTAAGTTTGATAATAATATTACGATGTACCAAATTTGGACCAAATCGGATACTCCCTTCGTGGGTAATCGACAGAAAAATGGACGGATGGACACGATGTCTGTCCATCGACTCCAAATGTTCTGAAATGGATTTGTTTCAAAGAGATATAGGATATAAAACCGTTATTTCGGTAAGGCACGTTTTGACCGTATCAAATGATATATACCCTCTCTAGCAATGTGGCTGAGGGTATAAAAAATATATATATTGGAGCCGAGCTCCACGAAATGGAAACGTATGTCCCGAAATTCACTCCATTTGGGCTGATATTAGCCATTATTTGTACAATAAACCTGAAATCGGATTAAGGATATATATGCGAGCTATATCCAAATCTTAGGCAAGCGCGATAAAATTTAGCAAAGGTATTTCCGAGCTCTACAAGATA